CCCCCCCTGCTGCTGCCCCGCCTGCCCTCGCGCCTTCCCTTACGTGTGAACCCGCCCCCCCTGTGGCCCCGTGCGCCTCCTGCGTAGGGAGAGTGAGTGTTGGCCCCTTGAGCGATGGGGTTGCCGCTGCTTGCGCGCGGGGTTACTGGTCTTCGTGCGCGGAGCGCACTCTGTTGCGCGTCGGGGGCTTCATTCCCACTTGCCACGGGCCCGCGATGTTGTTGCGCTACATCACCCCCCCCCCCCCCCTGCCTGCCGCGGCAGCGTTGAAATCTATCACGTCGTCTTCCACGATTGCACGGGATCCCCCGCCTCGTGTGTCGGCAGCCTCGCCTATCTGAATGCCTTCAGCCACACGCCTCGTCGACTTCCTCTTCAACGGTCGTCGTCCGAGTCCTGGAAGTCAATTTCGTCCTGCGTTGCAACCTCCTCCGGCACCCACTCTTCATCGACGACGTCATATCGCTGTGAGGGGCTTTCTGTGACGATATTCCTCTTCTTATTCGACGCGTGGCGGCCCTTCTTCTCCCGGACCGCCGCTCCCACTGCCAGGTTGGCGGCGGACTTGCCGCGTCCAGAACCGCGCGACGACATGGTGGAAGACACACCCGCTCCGAGCTTGATCGCCCGCTTCGTTCGCGGAACGCACCTCAGCTGCGCCTGAAGGACGTGTCAACTGCGATGGCGGTTATCGGGACGGTGGCGGCGACGCCCCTCAGCGGCGACGATGACGACGGCGGTGACGATAGCGAAGACGACGACGGTGACGATGACGACGACGGTGACGATGACGACGACGACGACTGTGACGATGATGCTGAAAAATGCGGTGACAACGACGACGACGGTGACGACAACGCGGACAGTGACTACGGACAAGGTGAAGGTGGTGATGATGGCTACGAGGGTGACGAAGGCGGCGATGATGACTGCGCTAACGATGAAGTCGTAAAGATGACTCCGACGACAAAGCAATGCGCGCGGAAGGCGCTGATGTTGACGTGTTTCCATGCACAGAAGGCAACGATGACTGGGCTTCGCACAGCGCCCACAACACAGCAAAGCAGGTGGCGGGCGAGGATCGTCAAAAAAGGTCCACTGTAGCGTGGCGAGCATGACGATGATGGTCGCGGAGAACAGCAACCGGGGAGAGGACGTTGGATCACATGAAGGCGAGCGAGCGACTATGGCTTGTGTGTGTAGCATGATGCAGGCGGTATGAGTCGTGTCGTGATGCAAGCGGTATGAGTCGTGTTGTGCATTTCGCAACACGTCTCACGCGGGGTGGACGGCGAGGAAAAACCACTACTTAGGGGATTGTTGCACGCAACTTCCATAGTCGTCCTGCCGATACGATTGTGTGGTTGGGAGCATCGCGGACGGCCAACCGAAAGGCGAAAGGTCGTGGCCCAGAGTGTCGTCCATCCGGCACACCGCCACCCATCTTTTTGCCCCCCNGAGAGGGAGAGCAGGTTCACGCAGAGAGAGGGGAACTGGGACTGAGACAGACAGAGGCAGAGAGAGGGAGAGAGAGTGCCAGTTTTAACTTTGCTACTCTTTATTTATTTATTATTCTTACTTATTTCTTTAATCTTATTTAAATATTTAGTAATCTATCATACTCTCCCTAATTGCTGAAGAGCGCTGTGTGACGACGGGGCTCGACGGATCTTGATCTTGATTGACCCCCTTTCACCCTACTGGTCGCCGAGGACCTCGGAGCGGGCGCGGCGAAGTGACAGGCGCCGTAGCCCATGGCTTCAGCGAACGGTAGGTAGCCCYTCCCCGGGTTTCCTCACAACAAGTGGCGCCGTTGCCGGGGAAGGGAGCAGCACCCCCAAGGCCGCGGCCTTCCCCAATCAAAGGGGGTGCGCGGGCTGATTAGTACAAACACTAATTAGTCTGTTTTCTTGATTAGCTTCAATTTTTGATATTTTTGAAATAGTTTTTTTTGAGATCTCTCCCGATCCGCGCGTTTTTACGCGAGGCGCACAGGGAGCAAAGTTCGACCTCTCGACGAGGCAAACGTTTTGAGACGTTTCTTGAGAAATTCTAACGGCTAGAAAAAGAGAAATGAAATTTTGTGTATTTTTTAATTAAAAACCCCTAAAATCAGGAGTTCAAATATTTAATTCGTTTTTTTTAATATCTCCCGATACGCGCGTTTTTACGCGAGGCGCACTGGGAGCAAAGTTCGACCTCTCGTAGAGGCGAACGTTTTGAGACGTTTCTTGAGAAATTCTAACGGCTAGAAAAAGAGATATAGAATTTTTTGTATTTTTTAATTAAAAATTCTGAAAATTAAGAATTCCTTTTTATTTTTATAACTAAGAAATTACGCGAAATTAGGAGATCACCGCCCGGACCAAAGTTGGTCGCCGTATTTTTCCCGACGTTTTGAGACGCTAGTCGGGGAAAACGGACTCCGTTTGGACGAGTGGTGACCGCCGACAGACGGGAAAAGAGCGGGAAATTAAGGGGAATTAGTAATTTTCTTTGTATTTTTGTAAAATAAAAGGGAAACGGAAGTTGAAGAAAGTGATCCGTTGGAACTCGACCCTTAACGAACTACAAACTAACAAAAAATTTCCTACCTCGAAAAGTTCGACGTGGAAGCGTGCGGTTGCGCGTGAAGTTCCCAAAACCCTAGTGAGCAAAACCCTAATTAGGAGAAACCCTAATTAGGGAAAGACTTGATCAGGGTTTTAGAGTCGGGTGACAGCCTCGAGGAAGAGGGACTATACTTAAGAAATGCTTTGCCCTTTGTATTTTTCGAGTTTTTTCATTTTGTATAATTAATTTGAGAAAAATATTTAAGATAGGGGAAGAAATATAATTAAATTTTGTTTATTTATAAAAATTCAGATGACCTTTGTTTCGGGATGTTGAGCTAGGGGCGGAAGCTCCGCACCCCATCCCCACGGGGGGAGGCGAAGTGCTGCAAAAATTTCTCGGCTATTTACCAAGTTTTATTAATTTTAATTTAATTAAAAGAAAATATTTGAAANCCCTGAAAGCCCTCCCCCAGAACGGTCTCCATCCCCCTCCGCCATCGAAAACAGTCCATGCCCGCCCACTTCAACGGTCTTCATCGACGCCAATTCACATTCGGAGATGACGAAATCATCGGTCACGTCCAACACCACAGTTAAAGCCTACGATGAACCAGAAAAATAACACAAAACAGAAACCAAACGTGAGAGGAGTCATCCACCCAATCGGACGACCACCCACTTCCCTGGCCAGCATGGCCAACTACGGACCACCACGTCGACGACGGCTCCACATCGTCATGGAAGCCACAATGCTAAGAACAGAGGCGGCATGGACTCTACCGCTCGCGGATGGCCTTCGCTATCTCCATGAGAGCGTTGCACATAAGTCTGCTCACTTCATCGGATGATGCGTAGCGCCGTTTCTGCAATTCTACCTCTGCTTCGAACGCCTCGCACTGCCGTATGGCGATGGAGCACAGACGCTTGTTGTTGCTCTCCATCGTCGACGTCATTAGCGAGCCGTGCTTGTCCATGCAATCCGTCATCGCTTCGAAAGTTTGCTGCCTTGTGCTCTCCCGCTTGCCGAAACCGCCTGGGCCACCCGTCATTTGAGAAGAACCTTTCGTCAATCCATCGTCATCGCCGTCCTGTCCTGCACCACCGCCCCTGTCGCCCACAGATTCAGGATCTCCAGAAGAGGCGGACGAGAGGCGCACACCACTCAGAGCACCAGTGTCGGCGACGTTCTTGGGGTTGATGGTGTGATTTTTGGCGGTCGACCCCAGTATCTCGTCGTAAACTGCACGATCCATGTTGAAATTGAAGCCCTTCGACGTTCTCTCCTTCCCAGACAATTGGAAGAAGTCCTGTTTCCCGGACATGCCTTGGAAGCGATGCACCTTCTTGAACTGCTGCATCAAATTGTCCCATTTCTTCCCGCACCGATCTGCGTCCCTATCGACGCCCACCTTCTTCAACCTTTGCGCCACATCCAGCCACTTCCATTCTCTCGGCTTCATCCGAGCGTACGCGTGACTTATCCCCGGCATATGAGCATCCTGGTCACGTTTAGCCCGGATGAGGGCTATAATGTCGTCAACGGACCAGAACTGACGACCTCCTTCCGCATCAATGTCACCTTCGGCGTCGCTCCCCTTGGCTGCCGCTTTTTTCCCCCGACGAGCATTGCGGGCAGAGGCCTTCGTCTTTCCGCCCCTCCCTCCCATCGAGACAGCCTGATTGGACGACGAAACGTAGCCTGCCTCCTCCTCCTCACCTTCGCCGTCGTTGTCGTTCCACTTGTGATCGTCCGCGTCCAACACTGGTTCCTCGCTGTCGTTTTCGTGGTCACCCACACGCAGTCGCTGCACCCCCCGCGTTATGGACTCCTCCCGCCCAGACCGCAGCAGCCGTCGCTGTTCTGCCCACACCTCCCTCCCGTCCCGTGCGTTACCAAGATCGACGATGCCACGATCCGTCTCCCCGCATTCGGCATGACGGCGGCCTGCAGTCGAACCACCGGACAGGGGAGACGAAGACTGCATCCACTGGGGGCGAACGGAGGCAGCCCTGGGCATAGACGGCGACCGGAATTGCTGCGTCGGAGGATCCCTGTTGTTCCCCGTCGCCTCCCACAATGGCGCTGGTGACCTGGATGATCGCGCAACAGCCGTCACCTGACCGCCGTCTTCGTCCGGATTCGAGAGACGGCCGACGACCTACCGCTACACAGGCCGAACGAAAGATTCACGTCGCCATCGCCTTCATCGCCGCTAAGCCCCTTCTGGAGGAGTTTGGTGTAGGACTGCCCACAGCCACCGTCGTGGCTCCCACACAGCTGTGTGGCCGACCACTCCTGGGTGGATCCACTTGCCAGCGGCATGGTTCGTGGACGTCTCTCATTCGCATCCTCGTTGGACGTGTACGCCAGCGGTTGCAAGTGCGGTGGTAGGTGCGCGTACGCAGACCGGCCGACGACGGCCGTGAAATCTCAGACGGCCTGGGGCCACCCTGCTGCCCACCAACCCGCTCGCCTGCAGACCTGCTGATCACCTGTCGCCCCTCCATCCTGACGTCCCTCTTCAAAGAGCGTCTTCTGCGACCACGTCGCGGAAGGCTGCCAAGGATGCACACGTGGAGGACAACCAAGAGGGGGAGCAACAGGACGACCAGCACCAGCAGCGGCAGCCTCTGAAAGAAGTCGGCCATGAAAGGCACGTTGACGACGGCAGCAGCTAGAAGACAATGGTGGATCTTTGTGGTAACGGTGAGGGACAGTGCTGCAAACGCCCGATCGCACCTATCGACAAAATCACCGTAACGTATTCCGTCGCGGAAGACACTGCGCAATCGGGACGAAGGGGGGCACCTGAAATATTTGAATCTGCCGACCGATGGGCGCCTTCCCGCTCGGAGCCAAGGGCAGCGACGTGAGACGGCCCCTTTTCGACGTCGCGGAGGCCGGCATACTGCCAACGACGACCATTGGTGGCCAGTTCCATGAGGCCGACCGTTGCCGACCGAAGATGTCCGTCGAAGGCCGCCAGGAACAGCAATGGACCACGCGCGTCGAAAAATGTCATCGAGAGAGCTGCCGTCGACGCCCCGATGAGAGCTGCCGTCGACGCCCCGATCCTTCCGGATGCTCGGGAGGTCCCTTGGGGAACGCGTCGGAATGGCTGTAGCCCGAGGAATCCCCGAGGATTTGTTTTCACATTCTTTTTTCAATTTGTTCCTCGAGGATAAGTGGAAAGATCATTTCCTCGGGGGATTTATGCGCCCCAGTGTCGAACCAGCCCCAAAGGAAAACAGGGATCCATAACACAAATCTCCACCTTTCAAAAAAAAAAAAAAAAAAAAAAAAACCGGGTGGCGGTACAGTCCGAAACAACTGTCTCTCAGACTCTCACAGCTTCTCAAGACACAAAAAAACAATCCGAACCTAAGAAACGAAATAACTTTAAGGTCTCCGCAAAACTCAAAGTCACCTCCCGTTTGCCAACGTACAACCAACCCCATCAAAATCCACCACGCAACGTGTCACTGGGGAATTGACGGTAAACAGAACAGTTTCTGAAATTTCGAAGTACCCAAAAAAAAAAATCCAAATTTCTCCCCTTCCGCATATTATAGGGATTTGATGCCCTCCTTTCTGCACACAAGGAGTATGATCATACGCATTACAGGAGCAACGCTCAACGGTCTAATCAGATTCGAACGGGTCCGATTAAATTAAAAGGAGCAAAGAATGGTCCAATCACTGGCAATCAGCCCTCAATGCAACCATCACATGATAGGGATCAGCTGCTAAGTTTTATAATTCAATCCCTATTATGGACAAATGACTTGAATTTGAAATTAATTGCACCATCCTTTCACCTAGCATGCACCCTTCTCTGCCGATGACACCGTGGAGAAATTATCTTTCCGTCGCCGGGGTGAGAATAGACTATAAACTTATATAAAGAGAGCAAGCGAATGAGGTCACAGTGTCCATTGGAGAAAGAAATTATGAAAAAGCTAATGTACGAAAGGGTATATAACCTTATATTCACACTTCCACTTTTGCAATCGAATCTTGCTCTCATACTGTCATTACACTCTAATTCGTCCAGGCTATGGTAGTCTCAGTGTGAAGACCCGGCTATGGTAGTCTCCGTGTGAAGACACGGGCATTCTCGCTCACTACCCTAGTTGCTATGGAAGAGAGATTCCAACCCTCTATATTTTATTATTTTGTAATATATCAGTTTCCAGGACTGATACCTTCAGCCACTCAGGCATCCATCCAAAGCAAAAACGCCCCTTGAACCTTTCTTTCCCCTCCATAAAGCACATAGCCAGTGAAGATATGGTCCGGGCCGGGTGTTCTACATCTACTACAAATCAAATCGGATCTTACTACCGTCTTCACCCGAATAGAACGCCGGGTCATTATCGCCTCATCTGGACTGCAAATTGGGCCAAATGCAGCTATAATACCGGGCGCTTTATTCGGGTGAAGACGATTGCTTGTCTGACGGTGTCCTTGTGGTCTTTGAGCGAAGATAGGGAGTGTAGGTTGTTTCTACCCTCTACCGCGGTGCTACGAGCACGAAACGGCACCGACACGTTTGCGAAGAAATATACGCAATACCCAAGTAGTGAATGAGTACGCCCGTCGCCGCCAACTCTAGAGACCTGTACATCGGACGGACAGCGGGCAACGTCATGGAAACGACTCAGTAGGAAGATGTATACGAGTTGAAAAAAAAAAAAAAAAAAAAACACTACGAGTTGAAGTCCTGCTAGGATTCAAAAATGTTAAGGGCTATCCGCTGAGAAGGAAAAGAGAGAAGAACAAGGCAGGTAAGCCACAGGGTTTGAACTCGTATGGGCCCCAGGTAAACAGTGAGCTGCAGCTGTCCCTGCCCGGCAATAGATGAAGACGCCCCCCGGCAGCAAACGAGCAGACAAGAAACTGTTCTGAGGGTTAATCAAAACCATGGAGCGGCAGGGTGCTGAAACTCCAAGATTGCACCCGTGCAGAGGGGGGAAAACAAGAGATGGAAGTGGGCTACAACTTTATCGGGAGCTCAAGAGCAGAAGAGAGTTCTACTGGGAGTTCGACAGCAGAAGAAGGCGATGCTACCGGGCGTTCTGGAGCAGAAGACCGTACAGTGCTACCACCAGATGGTTTTCTAGATCGATAAATAAGGTGGACGAAAGCGCCACCTACAGCTAAGCAGATCACACCAACTGCCACGACGACGCCAACCACTACCCCGGCGCTAAGTCCTCTCCTAGGTGGAGTCAGGGCAGTTGCCGGCGGAGACCGTTCAGACCTGTCAGGCAAGCTACTGCTGACACGTGTACTACTGCCATTGTGTCCCGGCGTAGAGGATGATCCCGTTGCTGGAGAGGCATCAGTTGATTGCCCTGGCGGTGGCGAATCTGGCGATGATGATGATGATGCTGATGCTGTTGATGATGATGATGATGATGATGATGATGATGATGATGCTGCTGATGATGATGATGATTCTGTCGAAGGTTCTGACGACGATGGCGATGGAGCGGATTCCGTCGAAGGTTCTGACGACGATGGCGATGGAGCGGATTCCGTTGGTAGCGCTGGCGATGGTGATGATGAGAATACTGTCGAGGATTCTGACGGCGA